GCCCCAACGTCTGTGCACCTGCACTTCTGCCGCCTTCACATCCCTCCACTTCAGCGTTCCTTGCTCGTGCCTCGCCACCCTGTTGGTAGTCATCTACCCCTTCACAGGGGTCCGCATCCGTCAAACCGACACGACACATTTCAACGCACTCAAATTGGCGCATGGAGGGTGGTAGGAGGAGAAACGGTGTCCACATCTCATAGCTCCAACACAGCAAGTGATGGTGGGAGATGCGTCATTTGGAAGCGCGTGTCAACTCCACACAGTGATTAGTGCATGATGGAAGGGCAGGTCTTTTTGTGGAGTAATGAAGTGACTTTCACACGTTTTTTTTCTTCGAACTAAATATTCCAATAACTTTGTGGCACCCTTTTAGATCTTTCGGAATCGGCACACTAATTGCCTTTTAACGTATTCGTGGTATTTACTAAGCTTTAGCCCTTAGGATATTCCAAGTTATCTACTTAGCCATGATATTTCTTATTACTATTACATGACAGATGTCACTCATCATCTCCGCGTAACAGCTTGGAAACAAACTTGATACACCTATTATTTGTGTCTATAAACCACACTATTCCTCTTCTTTGGTGCATTTTTAGGCTCAGATCCCGTATTTCGAATGTGCATTCCCTCCAAATTTCCAGTGATGACAATGAGGCGATTAGTCATTTATGGGAATTTCAAGTATCAGTAAAGAAGGCAGAGAAGTGGAATTTATCTAAAACAATTAAATATTTACCATCTTTAACGCATCTCTTCCACCAACTACGTGGGTGGTCTCTTGACGTACTGTTTCCTGGGTTAAATCCTACACTCATTCAGATCTCCTCCTTCCAGCTCACCACTTTCTCGTCCCACCTTTCCGCCAACTTGTAGTCCTGCTCACCTGCAGACCCTCAGCCCTCTGCATTTATCACTTTAACGCGGCTAGGGGCATGCCAGGAAGGGAAAAAATTGTCCCCACATCCCTACTGCAACAAGTTTTGGATTTTGCAATAATTTGTTCTAATACGGTAGTATGGTAATAACATGGTGAACTTCACGACTCACACTACCAAATGAACGTAACTGTTTGCCTCCGAGGAGTTGTCAAAAATCATGTACACCTTGTCACACAATTGCACTCGCCTTTGACGTCAAAGTGCGTACCAACGTGCCTTCCTACACCAAGTTCATACCTCAATCAAATCCCCTGTGCGTGGTAAGGCGCGGTGCTGTTCATCATCCATCATCTGAGGCAGACGCCACTCTCTACCTTTCCCCATAGCGTCTTACATACCGGTCTGTCGCCAACATGGCTCGTGCAGTGTCAACGTCACTGTAAATTGGGGTGAGAGGGCTTCCACTGCTCCTACTGACAGCTTAACACCACTTCTTCCTCCCTCCGTTAGTCCCAAAGTCATTCCACCTTCCTTCAGTTAGTGCAACTTTCTCATTCAAAGCCTCCTAGTTTACCTACACCGTGCCTTCAAACCACGGTACAAACTGGTCCAGTTGGTTAAGTTGCAGTCCAAGTTCACCAGTCGCACACATAAACTAATGCGACAAGCAAGTGCAGAAGTCACTTTGAATTAGGTGTAATAAGGCAGGTGTCACGTGCATTCCCTACCACAGTACCGTGAGGTCTCCGACTACCTCCCAGAGCTTATCACGCCACACAATATAAAACAACACCAGCTGAGATTGTGCGTCTCGGCGTGTGCACTCGCAAACTTCAAAGCAGCGCCGAACAGTGCAGAACAGATGAGCACAGGAGAGGAGAGTAGAGGCTAGGCGAGTAGAGAGGAGTGAAGAGAGGGAGAAGCGCTGTCTTCAAGTAGGCATTTAGGGAGGGTTGAGAGAAGGCAAGTTCCCATCCTCCCGTTCGAAGCCCTTTCCAATCTGGTGTTTAGATTAGGAGCTCGTGCTTGTACGCGTCAGCGCCTTGACGACTTTAAAGCCCATTCACCATATCTCTCTGCAGTCAAATGCATCTGGGCGCAAGCAGTGACAAACATAGATGCGCACTGCTCTAACAATGGCAAGGGGAGGTGAAATGACACAGTCCACCTCTGCTCCAAGAGCGCAGGAGTGTAAGTGTGGA